CCAAAAAAAAAAGAAATCTGTTCCCCCCCTGTGAAACTTGAGTAAATTCTACAGCAGGAGTCTCAAATGCCCAGCCAGCGGGCCATCTACATGCTGGAGCATATTTGCAGTCTGGTCCGGGAGACCTTGCAGCCTGAGGGGTCATGTCTGAACCTGTCCACAAGCCCCACCCTTGCCTCATCCTCTTCCCATTCTTCCCCATGCCACCAGGGGCATGGTCTTGGGGATTACAATGGGGGCCTGGCATGGAAGAGCAGCATCAGTTGACCTGCTCCCCTGGCACTCACTGCCAGGAGGAGTGGGGGGGGGCACAACCACTGCCGCCACCCTGTACCAGGCCTCCCCGGTAATCCCTGAGGCCCTGTCCCTTGGTGGATGTGGTGTCACGGGGGGAAGGTGGTGGGAAAGGGCGGGATTTGGGGGCAGGTTCTGGCGGGCAGGTTCCCAGGATGGATTGTGAATATGCCCTAACCCATAGATAGCCCACAGGCCAGGAGTTTGAGACCCCTGCTCCACAGCTTGCTTCTATTAATGGTTAAAACTGTAGTCCTTACAGGCTCTCTAATTAGCTCAAGCTATGCTCCAATGGACAGAAGTGTTTTATGTAGGAGCCAAGTATCCCCTATCAATAGAACTCATAGGGATGTAGAGTTGGAAGGGACCTCAAGTAGGGTTGCCAGATGGTTTAATCAAAAACACCAAACAGCCCTCCCCCAAAAAAAAAACCAGGGAAAAAATTCTGGAGGAGAACAAAGTTGTTGAAGGGGGGGGAAGGACCTTGAGAGTTAAGCAAATAAATAAATAAAACAGCATGGCTCCTTTAAGAAAATTCTTTAGGCTTTTTGCAATAGCTATCTTGTTTTCTTGATGGGAGCCAGAAGGCAGCTTCCCTGCAGAACCAGGTAAGGCGGGGGGATGGAGCCCTGGGGGGGCGGGGATGGTTGCTGAGTGTGTGTAGGGTTGCCAGGGGTCTGGTATTTTCACCACCTGGCAGGGGAAAAAAATCAGAAAATATCGAACATTTTAAGTGTCAGATATTTTCTGAATTTTTTTTACCGGACAGGAGGTGAAAATACCAGACTGTCCTGGTCAATACCAGACACTTGGCAACCCTAACTTCAAGAGCTCATCCAGCCAACCCCTTAACATAGAAGCAGAACCAAGTATACTGCGATCCCTGATAAGTGTTTGTCCAATTCTGATTTTTAAAAAAAATCCTGTGACAGGGAATTCCACTACCTTCGTTGGAAGCCTATTTCAGTGCTTAACTATCCTTAGTTGCACTTTTTCTATTATCTAATCTAAATCTCTTGCTTCAAATTAAGCCATTTTACTTCTTTTTCTACCTTGAGGAGACATGGAGGACAATTGATCACCATCCTCTTTGTAACAGACTTTAACATATTGGAAGGCTGCTGTCAAGTTCCCCCTCAGGCATCTTTTCTCAAAACTAAATCCTCCAGTTTTTTTAGGTTGGGTTTTCTAACCCTTTTAGCTTTTTGTTCTTCTCTGGACTCTCTTCTGTTTGTTCCCATCTCTCTTATAGGGTGGCACCCAAAACTAGTTATAATATTTCAGCTGAGGTTTCATCTGTGCTAGTGGGAGAGATAGCTTCCTGTTTTGTGTTAACAGGAGTGTTGTATGTTCACTTCTGAATATTAGCCTTTTTCGCAACTGCGCCATACTCTTCACTCATTCAGTTAGTATTGCTTTAAAAGAATTTGAAGGGTTTCATAATCACTATCACACAGTCATTTACTTCCCATTTTGTATGTCGGCATATTATTCTCCCTCCTCCCCTCCCCCCAAGTGTGATATTCTTTATTTAATTGTATTTATTTTATACTGATTCTCTAATTTGTCATGGTCACCCTGAATTCTAATCCTGTCCTCCAAAGTCCTTCCAGCCCCACCCAAAGTGATGTTGTCCACCTGTTTTATAAGCATATCCTCCACTTCATTATCCACATCATCAGTGAAAATATGAAATATCAGATACAAGACAGATCCTTGCAGGAATCCACTATATATGTCCTACCTCTATGACCGTGAACCACTGATAACTACTGAGTGTGGTTTTTCAGCCTTACTCAGAGTAGTTATCTGGACCACATTTCCCTAATTGACTTAGGAGGGTGTCATGTGGAACTGTGTCAATAGCCTTAAAAATAAAGATACATCTTGCGAACTCCTTTCCCCTCATCCACTAAGCCAGTAACCCAGTCAAAGAAGGAAATTAGGTTGGTTTGGCATGATTTGTTCTCAACAAAGCCACATTGGCTATTACTTAATGCCTAATGGCTGCTGGAGGGGAGGCCTGTTAGAGTGGATTGTTTCCTGACAACAGCAGGTGCTTGGCATAGGTTCTGAATTATAGGCTTGTTATCACTACCTCGGAATGCATGCCTACAAACATTGTTTACAAAATTATCTTTCTATTTTGAAAGTCCACGTACACTGGTTGACTTGTGCTGCTAAACACTGAGGGTTCTTGGCTATCCTGAGTACTTAATACACCTGCACTTGATCCTGTGGGGCATCAGCCTTATATGAATGCCCTTCTGTTTGGTGGTGCTTTCTTTAGTATATGTTTCACAACTCTCCTAGGTTGTCTAGAGAAGCCATTTAAGAAAAATCTTGTGTGTGTGTACGCTTCCTAGGAAGTTACATGTTGACTAGCACAACTGGGCTGTGTCTACACTGGCATGAATTTCCGGAAATGCTTAAAATGGAATACTATTCCATTTTCAGTTTTTCCGGAAAAGGAGCGTCTACATTGGCAGGCTGCTTTTCTGGAAAAGCCCTTTTTCCAGAAAAGCGTCTGTGGCCAATGTAGACGCGCTTTTCCGGAAAAGAGCCCCAATCGCCATTTTCGCGATCGGGGCTTTTTTCCGGAAAAGACTACTGGGCTGTCTACACTGGCCCTTTTCCGGAACAGTGTTCCGGAATAAGAACTTATGCCCGAGCGGGAGCAGAATAGTTTTTCCGGAATAGCGGCTGATTTTGTACAGTAGAGCATCGTTGCTTTTCCGGAAATTCAAGGGCCAGTGTAGACAGCTCGCAGCTTATTCCGGAAAAGCGGCTGATTTTCCGGAATAAGTGGCCCAGTGTAGACACAGCCCTGATGTTTTATAGCAGCATTGGGCAGCTGGGGTTCTTCAGCCTTTGGCCCACTAAGCTTCCATCTGTGGCCTGTGCACTCTGTCTGCTCCCTCCTCCCCCACACACTTCTCATACACTGGGGCACTGGAGCCCCACACTTCCTACTCCCCTCCCTCCCAGCACTTTCAGAGCACCATGAATCAGCTGATTGACACTCCGTCCGTCCCCTCCTCTTTCCCCTCCCTTCTAGAGCTTAAACAGCCTTAAACAGACCAGGTGGAACCCCAGTGGGCCACAGGTTGCCCACTGCTGTTCTATAGCTGCAGAAAACGTTTTTATTTCAGTTCTCTCTTTAATCTTTTCTTCTCTGCTTTCAGGATAGTATTAATCTGTGCTAAACGAACCTTATGTGTGGCTTTTTCTATCCTGCCATATGGGGACAGCTTACGAATCAGGTGAGTCTGTATTTTTAATGCGGTATCTGCACTGCTCTGAAGTATCTAGTCCATCACCATGTATAACAGCCTAATTTATGAAATGAGGGACCTCATAAGTGAGTGTAGCTGTAACATACGATAGCCCATTTTAGTATACCTTGAAACAAGAGAAAATACATATTTTAAATGTGCTCATAAGACTTACTGAAGCAAGCACAAAATTGCAACACAAATTGAATAGTAAAATATAAAAATCAAAATGGTCTGTCAGTTAAAGTACTCAACCAGACTTCAAATAGAGAATCAGTAAAAAACCCAATGTAACAGATGCAGACCAACTGGCCACAATAGTTTGGTGGATGGTAAATATACAGGCAACTAGAAGAATATTTTTCTGTTCTCTAAGTGACCTGAGCAGGGTCTGCTGGAGAGCAATTAGGTCAAATGCCTGGAGACAATTAAGAACTTGCCAGAAGCAACACGCTAATCGGAGCACCTGCTGCTCATTAAGGACCTGTGGGGCCTAGTTTAAGAGGCCTCAGTTCAGGGGCAGCTTGAAGACCAGACTGGGAGTAAAGAGATGCGCTGTGGGAGAGTGCAAGATTGTGGTCAGGTACTGGGAGGAGTTGGTTGGGGAAAGCTGCAGGTGGAGAAATTACTACTTGCTGATGCTGCTGCTGCTACCTTTAGGGTCCTGGAGCAGAAGGTGGTCCTGGGTTCGCTCAACTCTTCTTGCAGCACTACAGAGGTCACCCTTGAAGGGGAAATTTGGAACTAAAGAGGAGTTCACCCCAGACCCATTTGCCTGGCCTATGATGAGGATGGCTCACTAGGCTGTGACCCTGCTTCTAGTAAAGGGCCAGAGGCTACGTGGAAGGTCACAGCGAGCCTGAGACAAACACTAGCCGCCTAGAAGTGCAGGACCCCCAGGGCAAGGCAGAGGCTTTGCCACACCACACATAATAAAGGGTAAAAGCATATTTAAGCAGACTGAAAAGAATTAGAAGAGCAACTAGAAAACCACACAAAGTAACAGCAAAAATTTGAGGTACATCAGAAGCAGGAAGCCTGCCAAACAATCATAGAAAAAGTATTTTATGGATCATTTAAACAATTATTCAGGATAGTTAAGTCCAAAGCTGGTTGCAAAGTGTTTCAAAGAGCAACAAAGTAGCCGATGAAATTCAATGTCGATCAATCCAAAGTAATGTACACTGGAAAACATAATCACAGCTGTGTGTACAAAAGGATAGTGTCTAAATTAGCTGCTCCCACACAGAGATCTTGGGGTCATCATGTAAATATCTCTGAAAACATCTGTGCAGTGTCTGTTGCAGCATCCAAAAAGCCAACAATGTTAGGAACCATTAGAAAAGGAACAGAGAGAAGGCCAAACCATCATAATGCCATTATACAGATCCATGGTAAACCCACATCTCTAATACTTTATGGAGTTCTGATTGTCCCTTTTCAAAAAATATATATTAGAATTGGAAAAAGTACAGAGAAGGTCAACAAAATGATTGATTATGGAATCGCTTCTGAATGAGGAGAGACTAAAAAGACTGAGACAGTTCAGCTAGAGGAAGAAACAGCTAAGGGGGAAAAGATAAGAGGTCTATAAAATCAAGAATGGTGTGGAGAAAGTGAATGAGAACATGTTTACCTCTTCATGTAACACACAAGCTAGGGTGACCCAATAAAATGTATAGGCCATGAGCTTCAAAGAAACAGAAGGAAGTACTTCACGCAACATCACTGTCAACTTGTGGAACTCATTGCAAGGGAATGTCATGAAAGCCAAAAGTATAGCTGAGCTCAAATGAGATGAGATTTATGAACAATAGGCCCACAAGTGGCGATTGGCCAAGATGGTTAGGATGCAGCCCCATTCTGCGGGGACTTCCTATTCGTTCCCTCTGATTAATGTTACTAGGCACTGTCGGCAGATAGGCTATCTAGCCCAGTATCCCATTGGTCAAACACAGTACAGCCATTCTTATGTTTTGAGGTGTATGCTTTGGGATTTAAAAGGGCTCTTATTTACCCTGTTCCTGGAGACACACATGCACATGCTTAACTTTCTGTATAAGAAGCCATTTCTGTTATGAGACTATTCATGTGTGCAGAAATACTTTCTTTCTTCTAATGAATGGATCTGTGAGTGGAGTAGGAAACTGAGGTTTGGTGGATCCCAGGCCTAAGACATCTTCCTTGTTGCAAACCAGACATTATAAATAAGGTTGTTAGGCTAGACACCTTTTTTTTAAAAGGTAAGCAGTTATGCCACAGTTTTGGGGGTTTTACACAATATTTGAATGTTTTTATTGAAAACAAGAAGTCAGATTTACCTCTCCTTCCTCTTTTCGCTGCCATTCTAAAATAGTAACATATAGTAAAATAGTAAGTCTCTCACTGGAGCTCTGTATTTAAATGCATGTAGTCGATAGCATTAACCAATAAGCTCATTGACTACTCTGTTACATCCCTAGTTTCAGCCCTTTGTTAAGTTGCAGCAAATAGAAACTGCCAGGCCTGATAAGGAAAACTCGATAATTCCATTGGACTGGTCATCCTTGCCTACCTTACTGTATTGTTTGCCAGTGGTTCTCTTCAAGGTTTTGAGAGTGTTGTCAGTGCCCTATTAGTTTTTTTAGTATTGTGATCATGCTGTTAGTTATTTTATGCTTTGAGCTGATGTACCATTGAAGGTAAAGGCAACTGTTATCTTAACTGACCCATGTTTTCTGGGATTTATAACTCAATCATAATAACTACTGTAAGATGGACTTCTTACTTTAAGATCTATAAAGCTCTGAAAATAACATTAGATGCTGAATGTCACTGTGACTTTGCCTACTACCAAGAACTGAAATGTCCATTTATGGCAAACTAAATGCAGTGTATTCTGGAAATGTAAGAAGTGTGTTGAAAATGTATACAATATCATTGCAAATACACTCACATAAGGAATCCTAAATGAGATGAATTAGGAAGATTCATGAAAGAAGCTCTCAGTGGATGTTTGACTTACACAATCTACAGAAAATATTGCATTTACTTTTAATCCACCTTTGCTAAAACAATTGTGTTGTCACTTGTGTCCTGTGCATAATTTATGGAAGAAGGAAACGGATGTTTAGTGGTGGAAATTGCATTGTATGCAAACATACTTTCCATAAAAATAGGCAATGGGAAACTTTTTTCTCACTTGATGGGAGAGCAGCAGGGTCACTTGAAAGAGTTAGATTCGACAGCTGGCTGCTAGAGTACCACTTCTTTCAGGTTTTCTTTGTAAGATGATGGTTTGTCCAATATAACTCTCTTTTTAAAGACTGGAGTAGGATATTGCTGTTAAAGTGGAGTTCTGCTGGAAATCTCTGTGTACAGTCTGTTCTTTATGAATTGGGGTTCAGGTCAGTAAAGA